CCTTTGGTCTGTTCCAAGTGACCCAACAAATGCTCTGCAGGAGGGAGGCCACACGCAGGGCGGTGAGGAAGCCGGCAGTGCCCGCTCCCACACCCACTGTTTGTTTCTTTGTCTTCAATTTTATTTGCTAATACTGTGCCTTTTGCATCGGTAAATAAACTTTATTTCCTCTGCTTTTGAAAAGCATTCCCACTGCACCAAACACTACGACTACTTTAAAAAGTCAATTAGGTGATAAAAGCAAGGCAGGTGCACCACACACACACACCGTTCTGTAAAAACTGGAAGCATGTGTACACACTTAAGTGCAAAGAAAACTATGGAAGGATTTATGAAAACAGTGCTGTGCTTCTCTCTAGATGGTGACCTTCCAGGCAATTCTAATTTTCTTCTTTAAGCTTATTTGTAGTTTCTAATTTTTCTACAATAAATACGATACATAATTACCTAAAAATATAGCCTCCAAAGAGGAATATGAGAAATATTCAATTCGTGATCAACAAAACTGTCTTTAAAAATATTACAAGAAAGCAAAACAACAACAACAACTTTGGTTTATTTCCAACTGAAGAAAGCCTCAGAGAGCCCCCGAGACGAAACCCAGGAAGCAGGCAGGGGTGGCCATGCTCCCAAATGAAGGCTCAGACCAGCTGGATGGCAGGGCACCAGCAGGATAGAGGAGGGAGACCCACGAGAGGACGGGGACTAATGCACTCAGGTGACAGAGGCACACATGTGCACACTGGGGCCAGGACGGACACTGCCCACTGTAAATCTCCACCAGTTCAACACAGGCACTCAGTGGGAAGTGGCTGCTGTCTTCATCTGTCCCCTATTTCGGGGCCTGGTGCTGGGTGAGTGCCCTCAAGAAGCTACTGAGGGAAAGACAATTACAAAGCAAACAATGTCTGTGACACATGTCACAGGAAGGGTTGGGCTGTTTGCACACAGCAGAACAAGCTAACCATGTGCCGACCTGGCTGAAAACCCTTGGGAAGACCATTAAAGTGGAGACACCTCCCCTTCCAAGCTGTATGGCGCTGCTGAGCTTAAGAGAGAGGACAAAACCCCGCAGTGCCAGACACGAGAGGGGACCCCAGGCCAGAGCGTAGAAACACGAGTGGAAGGAAGGCCTGGTTTCACGCGCCTCCAGGTCTGAGGGACGCGGCTCGGATCTGCACAGGCCGCAGGAGCCGAGCTGCTCACGGAAGCCACGGAGTGTCCTAACGGCCACCCGCGTTGTCTCGAGGGGATGGTGTGGAAGTGACAGCCCATAGCAGAGTGAGTGCAACACAGGACTTCCCGAAACCTTCCATGGCCACCCGCCCCGCCCCCTTACCATTGAGGGGCTGCAGCTCCAGGAAGGTGGCGGAACACACCTTACACACCCACGAGCTGGGCTCCGATTCCACTGGGGCGCTGTTTTCTGGGGTGCCTGCAGCTTCAAAAGAGAGAACAGGTGACCCACAGCAGCTCCTTGTCCCTGAGGGCCCAGCCCAGGGCAGAGTGCACCTGTCCTCACAGGTGACAATGACAGCGGACCCGCAGGAGCACTTTCCACATTCCCAGCTGTTCTCAGAGTTCTATGCACATGGACCTGTTCGGGCCCCATGAGTACCCCCATTTTACAGACGAGGAAACAGCACAGACAGGTGGCGCCACAGCAGCCCGGATGCAGGGTCTGGCTCCAGGCACAGAAACCTGTCTGGTCCAAGAAGCCATCCTTCATACGACTTCAAGAAAAACCTGCATCCTATAGACGAAACCGAATTCCTCGGTCTCTCATGGCTCACTCAAGACGGTGGGACCTCAAACCACTGGTCAGTGTGCTGTGAGCCGGCAGTGGCCGCAGCTCCAGCCCACCCCTGTCCACCAGGACTCTGCGTGGTGACAGAAATGCCCTAGCTGTGCTGTCCAGGGCCGCCCCTGCGTGCACTAGTGCATGGAGGAAATGAAGTTTTAATTCTACTTAATATGATCCTAGCTTTAAATCGCCCCCCGGGGCAGGTGGCTGCTGCCCAGGCAGGTCCACCAGCCTTTATTCATCACACCCCCCCAGGAGCCTCAGGAGGCAGAAAATGACCAGGGTTTGAGGCGGACACAGGGGGGCCCTGCCTGTGAAGCGGGGAACTGCAGCCTTAAAAAAACAAAAATACCTGCTTTTGTGGGACCTAAACACTGGGGATGGTCTGAGTGAGCGTGTGACGTCCAGGCCGGCCCAGTTCTGGCCCAGGGCCAAGCCCGCACCCCCCTTTCTCTCCTGGCTCTGTACAGCCTACGTTGACACACGTGACCCATCACAATACTCCAGGGGCCACTCACACAGCAAACTCCTGGGTCCTTAAAGAAATCACCCAGAATTGAGACCGGGGAAAAGCACATGTCTTTCTGGGTCAGAAACTAGCAATAAGGTTGCAAAGCATGGAAGAAACNTGTTTCATATTGTCTCTGAACCCCGTTTCCAAAATGTCTTCTCCCTGTTGAATGTGTCTATGACTATAAGCCACGGAAGTCCGCTGGCAGTAAGAAGAGTGTAAATGCATAAACAGGTAACACCGCTTCGGACATGACTGTGGTGTCAGTTTGCAGCATTCCCACAGGTGTCTGGACTATGGAGGACCAGGCACATTTTGACAGCTGTAAGGGACTCTCCAAAAAGGGCCGGAAAGAAAAATCGCTATCAGTTTATTCAACTTCAGTGCAAGTTGAATACCCAAGAATAACGTTAAAATATAAAAATTGTCTTTGTTCCCAAAAAGGAAAACACAAAGCAAGGCGTTCAATTTATACAAATTCAAATACAAAAATGCTTTATCATCGCAGCATTATTCACAACAGCCAAAGGGTGGAAGCAACGCAAGTTGCTATTGAAGGAGAAACGGATAATCAAAATGTGGTCTCAACAGACGATGGACTATTATTCAGCCTTCAAACGGAAGGACATTCTGACACCTGCTACAAGTGACAAAAACCAGTCAGGAGCAGATAATCGCTGTATGACTCCACTTATATGAAGTGCTGAGAGACATCTCACAGAAGGTCACCATAGCAACAAAAAATACACGGTGGGGGCCAAGGGCTGCGGGAGGGGGAGTAACTGCTAAATAGGTACAGAGTTTCAGTTCAGGGAAGATAAAAAAGTTCTGGGGCTGGATGGTGGTGAAGGTTGCACAACAATATGAATGTATTTAACTCAAAAATGGTTACGATGGTAAATTTCATGCTATGTACATTTTACTACAAAAAAGTTTTTTTATAACTTTTGACGGTGGACACCCCATTAAGCTCCTGGGCCCACACTGCTTCTGCTGCTACCCAAGCTCGTCCACTTCCCACCATGAGAGACCACCCCCACCCCCACCTCCATCAGACCTTCCTGCTGGGAGGTGCCACCCCCCCTATGCCCGCAGTGGACTCACTGCCCCCAGCACTTGCTGCCCCGAATGCCGTGGCAGGACGTACTTTGGCACTGAACTGGTGTCGCTGGTGGTGGTGGCTAGCTTCCCCAAAACCAGCTCCATGATGCGCTCGTCCGGCGTGGTGGTCACAGGCTCGTCAGGTGGCACCTCAGTGACGATCTCTGCCACTTGCTCTGTGTGGAAGGGATGGGACAGGCCATGTCACTACCAGGGCAGTGGACAGACACAACCTAACCAAGAAGCCACACCGAAGGGGACCGCAGCCAGGCCTGTGGATTGCTGTAGACTCGGATTGCAAGATTTACACAAGGGGAGAAAAAGAAAGAAAAACTAGCAATATTTTAGAATCCACATATTTACCTGTATATATCGAAAAACACAATGATATTCTTAACTCAAAACTGGAGTTATTAACTGTGATTCCTTTTAAAACCACAACAGTCAGAACACTATCTCAATCCCTCTTCATACCAACCCCAAACAAAACATTTTGATATTCAGTGGGATCTTCTAACTTATTGAGATTCAGAAATATTAATTTTAGGAGACAAGCCACCTTGAGCATGTTCAAAAGCAGGTAACTGCTCCATACAAGAGTTAAACACCAAGTAACCCCAGTAATAGGGACCTGGGCTGGCACCTCTGGACCAATGAAATATGAGAAGATCACACACAAAAATTTAGCACTGGTTCTGCCACTTCATTTACTGCAAGTCTTCCCAGTGCAATGAACCATGTGTGAAATAATCCCTTAATAAGCTCTCCGCCCCTCCGCACCCCCTCCACCTGTTAGAGATGGGGAGTCTGCCCAGGGAAGCTAAGCCGCTCCTATCAGTCCCACAGAGCAGACTGCGAGCTGGCTGCGCAGCGGGGCGGAGAAGGGCAAAGCTGAGAATATTACATGAGGACTGTTCTTCTGATTCTCTCTCTCTTTTTTTTTTTTAGGAGCCACATCCTTACCTAGCGGCTGCTCAGCTCGAGCTGGACTTGAACTGCTGTTGCTCAGAGCTCAAACTCTTGAGCGAGCTCTTAACCAACTGAGCCACTCGGCCGGCCTGCTGATTCTCTTTTTTAATTCTCAGAAAGAATAAGGATTTTTTTCTCACAAAAGGGATCATGGGATATACCAGTGGCAAAAAGAAAACTGACCACTACAGTGGTCAGTAACGAAGGTAGTGAGGGGACCTGTGCCATGCACAGGAGAGTGTCTCCAAGGTCCCCCCAAACTCAACTGAGGCTATCATGTAACAGGGCATGCTTCAGCCGTGGCCGGAAACAAGCGAGGTGCCCATTCGCAGGTGACAGGGGGCGGACGGTGGGGCGTTCACACAGCGACCAGTACTGCTCAGCAGCCAGGGGCAAGGAGCGGCCGAAACCCAACGTGGAAGGGTCACCGCAGTGCCACGTGTGAGACACCAGGCACAGAAAAAGCGCCATTCACGTGAACCCCCGGATAGGCAAGACCGATCCGTGTGGGACCAGGCGAAGGGCTGGGAGACGGACTGTTCTCTGTCCTGATGGGACCCGCTCGTCAAAGTTCAGGACTGCACTCTCTGTAGTGCGGATCATATTACATGTAAATTGTATTTTCCAAAAGAGCCGATGTATAGACAAAGATAAAGAGCTTACATTCTGCCTCTACATGGGCTCTGTGCTGAGTCTTCACACCCTGCCCCACGGAGGTGGGAGGGGACAAGTCATGTGGTCCCTCTCNAACAGTATGCAAATAATGTATTATGCAAATGAACTCCATTTCCAGGTTTGTTCTCTGTTTTCCATCCAAAATTTCTAACCTCTGAAATGAGGGCATCTAGAGAAAGTACGTTTCAATCTATTATTTCTACATAATGAAGTTAAAGGTGTGGTTCGCCAGAACTTTCAGCTGACATGTAGCAACTGTAGCTTTGGCTTCTATTACTTTCTGTCTCATTTGTGTCCAGAGAAACAGTTAAAGATAGAGGACAAGGTAGACGGCAACTTCTCTTCCTTGACACTGAGTCGGCCTCACCGAATATCCATCAGGACCGGGCACCCCTCTCGGCCACTCGCTCTGACACCGGGTCCCCTGCACTCATGCAGACCCACAAGGGGCCACGCGGGGTGTCATCTGACTCTGGTCAACCGGCAGCTAAGGCTCCGTGACTGCGAGTGCAGCAGTGGAGGCCATGGGGTGGCCGTGCCCAGGTCTGGGGGAACGCTAGGGTGCAAGGCTCAGAACGCCCGTAATGTAGTTCATGTGAGAGCTCCCAAGGCCACTTCATGCCACGGGTACGGATGCTGCAGAGCAGCTGGGGCGCAGGTGAAAGATTTGCCCGCCACTTAGAAAAGCCCCGCCACGGTTTCAGACAGGAGCCCTCAAAGCAGAACAAACAAACAAATGAACCAAGCAAAGGGACAAGCAAAGGGAGGCTGCGAACGGCTCTGGCCTCGGTGGGAGGGGCCACGCAGATTTAGCTAATTCAGGGAGAGGTTCCCCAGAGACCCACCCAGAACCAGCACAGAGAGACCAGTGACGCACACAGAGGGCCAACGGGACGGGATTCAGTGTCAAAGGCTAAGCGGGCAGGTCTCTAAGCCGACTGCCACTGGTCCCCCCCTCCCGGGTGTGCTAGGGCTCCTAGAGAGAGGAAGAACGAAGTCACCCATGGCACACAGGGACCGTGCAGAGGGGACCGACCAGGGCCTTTCTCCGCTGGATGGGCTGCTAGGCCACCGCCAACTTGCTGGACGTGGGGATTTCTACATACACGTGCTTGCCAGCTGTGAACTTGGCCAGAGGCGGTGACCGGGACACTTGCACAGGCCCAGAGAGGCCCCTCGGCACAGGCTCGTCTGAGCGCGCTGACTTCTGACCATACATGAGTAAACCAAGGCTCCATTTCACATGGAGACCGGCGGGCAGCGGCAGACTCAGAACAACAC